TTCCATTTCAATCCAATGCAGTCCATTCCTCCCTTTACGATTCCCATGACTCTTTCTAAATTGCTTTCCGATGATGCATACATCTTCAAATCGTCAATACATAGCAGCTGTGTGACCTTACAGGAGATCGGTTTTGATAACTTGTAACTGTTTGTGGCTCTCAACTTCCAAGCAATAGGGTTGAGTCACAGGGTAAACAATGTTGGACAAAGAGAATCACCCTGTGGCAGACCCTTCTTGAATTGGGTAATCTCTGGACTCTCGTAGCCTTGCTTAGTTTCCGTGACGATTCCTGTGTTCCAGCTCCTAGAGAGTTTCCCTATCGAGACGCAAAACCATTCCAGAAATCTATGTAGCTTGAACGTCTAATTATTATTATTATTATTATGATGCAGTTTATTGAACTTCAGCATGCCAGGAAGAAAGTTTCATAGGGCGCACAGCGTAACCCATGAAACTACACATCATTGCACTTATAAAAAAATATAAAAACCTATTTGCTAGCATGGAAAGATATTTAAGATACAACTAATACTAATATACCATCGCTAAATTACAATCTATTATTAATATACATAACAACTACCGTATTTCTTCACCTATAAGCCGAGCGATTTTTTCAGTTTTCGACCCAAAATTTTGGGAGATTTTTCACGGAGAACGGGGTTCGGCTTATAGCCGAGGGTTTTACATTTTAAAAATATACAGTTGCTGAATAACTTTACCCCCCCGGCTTGTAGTCAAGTTAGCAATGAAGCAGAAGTAATAAAACACAACAAAAATAACTTCTGAATATTGGTTATTCACTTTTATGAAATTGGTGGCTCCTAAAGGAGCCGTTTGACGGATACGTGCAAGGGCTTTCAACCCAATGGTTTACTCGCCATCCGTTTCGTTTTCGCTGTCTGTGTCGAACTCGTTCTCTTCTATGTATTCATCATCTACTTCTGGGGTTTCCTCAGAGTAGACCACGTCGTCCTCTGTTCCGTCCAAGGCATTGGAAATACCGCAGGTCTTGAAGGATTTGACAACCATCTCTTCGGGTATCTCTGCCCATGCTTCCTTGATCCACCTGAGGACAAGATTTCTGCTTGGCGCCTTCTTCTTCCCAGCTGGGGTAAACTCAAATGGCCCAGATGTCATCCACGCCAAGTACTTTCGGCGCACATTATCTTTAAATGGCTTGTTTAGGCACTTATCCAAGGGCTGTACAACCGGGGTTAGGCCACCAGGGATAACTGCGACGTCAATGTTTCGCTGCTTCAGGTCATCTTTCACGGAATCGGTCAAGTGAGCTCGGAATGAGTCCCACACCAAAAGGGAACGCTCGGCACGGGGCAAACTCTGTCGAATCCATTCTCGGATGCCCTGTTCATCCATCCACCCTTTCTTATGGAAGGAAACACGAAGAGGATGCGGCACAACCAGATCTCTCGGTGTACGGACGCCTTTGAAGATGACTTTCGGTGGCACCTTTGCTCCATCGGCAGCAACAGCAAGAACGACGGTGAAGCTCCGCTTTTCCGCTCCGCAAGATTTTACTGGCACTGTTCGGCTTCCACTGAATTCCAGTGTTCGGTTCGATGGCAGCTCAAAACGCATGGGTGTCTCATCCATGTTGTAGATGCGGGATAAAGGGTAGTCGGCGCGTCTTCTTGCTGCAATGACGAAGCGATGAAAGCACACAATGTTCTCTTCGAGATCGGCGGGCAATCGCTGGGCCAGAGTTGTTTTGGTTCGCATGCTGACCGAGTGGCGTCGTTTCCATTTCTCGTACCATCCACGGGAAGCTTTGAAAGCAGGATCATCGGAGAGCTCTTTAGCTTTAAGGCGAAGGATCAATCCACTCACCGCAATACCTACGAAAAATAAAATAACAATCTTATTTTGCTGCGAGATAACCGTAGATTCGTGACTGCAGCACTCTTTTCGTGACATGTTATGAAATTGTCATGACAACAACATATTTCTGACCAATCAAAGTCTCTGTTTCCCACGCACTGAAAGACGATATCATTCAACTCTTCAAAAACTCTTAAAATTTTAGACAGAAAAGTAAATACCAACCTTGTTCTCTTTGCTGTGAAAACCACTCCATCACTTGCTGGTCTAGTTCGGGATATTTCGGAGTGAAACGGCCCATCGTCGCACGTTTTGCAGACATCTTCAGCTCTCCGGAAAGAATAGTCGCCTGGTCTCTTCTCCAGCGTCGTACCATGGACTCGCTTAGTCCATATTCTCGAGCGATTTCCGAGTTGTTTTCTACCGCTTCAGCTTCCGCGATAACTTTTATCTTGAAAGCCATACTATACGAGGAACGGCGTGCTTTAGGCATGATGATAAAAAGTGACAGCGACGAAAGGTATACTCGATAGATTGATACTTTGAAACGTTTAACTGAGATTATTATTGTTGTTGTGGTTAATCTGTTGTCGCGTGGTAGTATTTATACAGTTCGTTGGATCAATTGATATTCATATCTCTTGATTGGTTCGCTTTTTTTCTTTTGTGTTTATTGTAATTCATTAGGTTTTGTGTTTAGTGAGTCAATTTCTTATGTTTTCCGTGAGGTTCGCTTGCTCAAATGGCCAGTTACAATCAATAATTTCGCTCTCGGCTTATAGCCGATGGTTTTACCTTTTTTTTTGGGCAGCTTGAGTGTAGCGTAAAGACCCTGAAAGTCAGGGTCTCGGCTTATAGCCGAGATCGGCTTATAGGTGAAGAAATACGGTAAATCACGTACTGTGAATAAGATTACTGTTAAACTTATAAACTAAATTCTCTACATAAGTCGATTAATCTTCTAATATACGGAACTCAATATTTAAATTTCCTTCAATGTTTAAAACTATCCTTCAAATTGATATTCATACGTGGGAATAAACTTCATGTTTATATAATGTTTTTATCATATTCAACGTTTCACAAGTTTCTTTTGTAGTTTTACTGTTCATGTTATGATCTCAAATGTCCTCGCAATGTTCAACGTACTTGATAATACAGACTTCTGCATGTTTCATAGCACATCTTTTGTCTTTTTTCCCAACAACTTCCATAATCCCTCTTCCATAGTCCTTGACCAACCCCCAAGCACATCCATGATAATATTGTGCTGCTGGACTGTGTATCCAGGGTACCGTTCTTGTAACTCCCATCATAGTGGACCATACTTTACTGACATCTCTTCATCTTTCTTTCCTCTGTTCTCAATCCATGGACAACTCCTCTCCAAGACTACTACTTCCTTACTTTTATGGTTCACTATCTTTGCATCGATTCTGTTAGCTTGCAGTTCCTGGTTCTCCCCATAAGTTGGTATGTCCCACAACGCTTGGACATCCTCCGAGACGTATTCTGGTTTAGGCTTGATTGGCGAATACCATGCAGGAAGACTTTCAACCAGTTGTAGCTCTCGTAGAAACTCAAAATACAGTACTTTCAGCGCATTGTTGTGTCTTGCCAAATACTTGTTTTGGGCGAGGGCTGAACATCCCGATAATAATCTTCTTAACTTGGTATAACTTCGTTGGTAGAAGCTGTTCATACAGCTCATACATGCCGGCCACAACGTGCGTTGGGCATGACGTCCAATCGCTTAACCATGAAAAGCAGTTCTTATTGCACACACTATCATCATTCCATCTTGTTGTATGCAACTTTCTTTGCCATGCTTTGTCACGTACTATCTTCAACAACTGTTTTCCATACTTTGATATCAGCAGCTGCTTTGCCTTTGTTGCAATCGCCTCCTCTCCATCAGCTTCACATAACACTGGTTCCGGGTATACAAGCATCAAGGTCAGTCCAAGTTCTTCACTAAACCTCAGGGCCTCAGTAATGAGTGACTGATATCCCAACGCAGCAGTGCACTCTTCAAACTCTCTTACAGCTTTCATACTAGGGTCACTGATTGAGTACAGTTTCATTACTGCCTTAATCTTCGCGATCTTGCATTCTCCCTCTACGGACTGCAGGCCACGTCCACCTTTCTTCCTCGACACGTACAATAAAGCGCTTAATGAGGCTGGTTATTTTCCTCCATTTGTTACCAGGATTTTCCGTGCTTCCCGATCAGTCCTCCTTAGTTCTGTCAGCGGCCAGTGCTGCGTCCACATGGGTTACTTAAGGACCGTTAGGGCATACTCATTAGAGGCAACCTCACGAATGACATCTGACAATGGACTCAACCAAATTACTGACAAACATTGTAGATATGTCTTTTCAGCACACTCCAGTGTTCTTCTCTTCCTGGCTCACATTCTCAAAGATTCCCAGAAACTTGTACTGTGAATCTTCTTCCAGAGGTTGTACCACTACTGTATCGCTGACTTTCAGTGGGTTTCGTGTATCTCACCTCGTTTTACATGGATTACATTGCACTTCTTGGGGTTTAGCTGTAGGTCAATATTATTCATGCAACTGTTAGTGTTCTTCAATACACAGCTGAGTTTACTTTCAGATTGAGCATAAACTTTCAAGTCATCAATATACAATACATCTGTAATTTTAGCGTTGATTGGTTTCGACATCTTGTACCCCTCTGTCGCTGCAAGTTTGCATGCCAAGGGATTTAGACACAATGTAAACAATCTGGGGCACAGAGTATCCCCTTGTGGTAACCCTCTTTCGAAACTAATGATGGAGATTCCTAGGCGTGGGAAATTCTTTAAGTCTCGGTTTTAAAAAAACACACTCCTGACCAATTAATTCCATGTGCTCACAACCACTTTAATCTAGTTAATCTAGTTCCAGTTCCCCACATGGTGTGGTGCCTGGCACTTACAAAACAGCAAACAAATAAGAAATCCCATGTCCATCCTCTCCCCCCCCCCCCAAGAGCAGCTCCGGGTCCTCAGCTCTTCTCTCTAGGGCTTGTACTCTGACTGGCCAGCGACATTCAACGGGCACAGCCTAGTTATTGGGCGTATAAACTTCTGGCCCCCTGTGGTCACTTGGACGACGCACACCTGTCCATCCTGACCTGGGAACACCTCTTCCACTCAACCCAGATGCCACTGACCGCGTGGAGCATTCTGATCAACAACAAGCACTACATCCCCAACCTTCAGGTTTTCTTTGGCCTCTCTCCATTTCTCTCGGGTGTTAAGTGTTGAGAGATACTCTTCTCTCCAGCACTTCCAGAACAATCTCACCAGATTTTGAATCAGTCTCCAATGGTTCCTGGGATTAAACGCGAAGTCATCAGCAACTTGAGGTGCTAGTTGTCCTCCTAGATGCCCAATTAGGAAGTGGTTAGGTGTCAACACTGGCTCTTCTCGCGGGTCAGCTCCTTCATATATCAATGGTCTCGAGTTCATCAATGCTTCTACTTCCTTGATAGCAGTGTGCAGCTCGTCATTGGTTAGCCTAGCATTTCCAACTATTGCTTTCAGAGTTTTCTTAGCTACTTTAACCAGCGACTCAAGCACCCCTCCAAAGTGCGACCCCAATGGAGGATTCCAATTCCATTTGATCCCATCATTGCCAACATCACCCGTGATCTGTTCCTGGTCCATTGCTTGAACAAGTTCTCTGAGCTCTCTCTCTGCTCCTACAAAGTTTGTCCCATTGTCACTTGTAACTTCTTCCAGTCTTCCCCTGGTGGCTACCATTCAGCTGAACGCATTCAGGAAATCTGTGGTGCTCAATGAACATGCCATTTCTAGATGCACCGCTCTGGTTGCTGAGCACATAAACAGGCACAAATATCTTTTAGCAGAAACTCTTCGAGTAATCCTGGTCGTGAAGGGGCCAGCGTAATCAATACAGCACTTTGCAAATGCTCTCATCGTTGTTCCAACTCTTGTCCTTGGAAGTGGTGCCATGATCTGCACTGATGGCTGTACACGTCTTCTCTCACACATCTTACATTCTTTGTCCCAATTCTTCACCACCTGTCAACCATCTATAACCCAGTATCAGTTTCGTACCTGAGCTAGCACGTGGTTGACACCCGCATGTTGGCAACGGTTATGAATGTCTGCAACAATTAATTGGGTGATGTGATGTTTCTTTGGTAAGATCAAGGGGTATACTGCATCGTAAGATAGTTCTGCTCGGTCCAATTGTCCTCCGACTCTCAATATACCTTGCTCATCCACAATAGGGGTAAGAAGTTTCAAGTGGCTCTGTCTTCTGACTTCTTTTCCTCCAATCAGATCTTTTATCTCTTCAGGAAATCTTTCTTCCTGTGCTTGTTTCACCCACAGTTTTCCACCTCTGTCTATTTCAGTTGGTGTCAATGTAAGTCTGCTCCTGGTAACAACATCTAAAGGGTTGCCTTGTTTATTCTTTACTTTGGCCAACAACGAATTAGCAAAACGTCTCACCCATGCTGTGACTCTTCTGAGTCAGTTCCAACTAGAATACTTTAGTGGATTCATCAATAGTTGTGAAATCTCTATTGCATTATCGGTTTGACTATCTCAGCGAGACATTCTTCTGAACGTTCTACAAACACTGCATTTTCCTTGAGGCCAGGCACCTTCATGCTCACTCAGGAATTCAGGTCCTCTAAACCAGCGATGTTCACTTGTCAGCACCTTTGCGTGTAGCCCGCGAGTTGCATCATCTGCACAGTTCAAATCGGTGGGGACATATCACCATTGTCTGGGACTAGACTTCTGATGGATCTCTGATATTCGGTTGGCAACAAAGGTCTTATACCTTTTCGATTGACCCTGAAACCAGAAAATGACGTCCTTACTGTCTGTCCTTAGTTTACAGTTCTCAAAAGGTATCTGTAACAGCTCTGACACCTTCCTCGCCAGTCTACGACCCAACACTGCCGCCATTAGTTCTAACCTTGGAACTGATGTCGCCTTCGTAGGTGCGACCTTCGCTTTAGCTGCAATAAATCGCACAGTCACTTCTCCATCTTCATATTTATGCCGCACATAACTTACAGCAGAAAAGGCTAACGACGATGCATCTACCATAGTATGGATAGAGGTGTCTTCAACAATTTTCTCAGCAACACGATAGCACCTTGGAACTTATACTCCAGAAAGTTCAGGTAACTGACTGAACCATTCTTGACACGTCTTCTTTAAGTTACTGGGGAACTCATCATCCCAACCAAAATCCAGTAACCACGTCTCCTGCATAGCCATCCTGGCACTAACTGTGAATGGTGCTAGCATCTGTAATGGGTCAAACAGCATGGCTAGTTTCTTTAAGAACCCCCGCTTCGTATAGACAACATCCTGAGGGGGGTTCAATTTGAAAGTAAACATATCCGTCTCAGCATTTCATTGCAGTCCTAACGCCTTCATGCAAGGTAGTTCAGACTCCTCAATCTTAACATTTGCCACACGATCTTCCACAGGTAAGTAAGTACCTCTGGCCTTTTACTACTCCAACGCCATATTTTGAAGCCTGCCTTGCAAAGCATCTCTCTAAGCTGGTCTCGAGCTTCAATCACTTCATCATCCGTCTCCAATGAGGTCATAATGTCCTCCATGTACATCTGTAATAGGATAATGTTTACTGCTAGCAGGTAGTTATCTCTATTATCTTCTGCATGTTGTCGCACAACGTACTGGGCTAAGTAAGGTGAAGCACGATCACCAAGCATTAATCTCATTGCTTCATAGACTTCAAGAGGTTTTGAGAAGTGTAAACCTCGCCACAGGAAGCGGTGGTACCGTCTATGAGATAGAATAAATATATGAAAATCATATATTTTGAACTGCGGTGTTTGATACGTATGAGGCACGATCCTCGCAGTAGATAGCGCTATTTAAGCAATAGCGAAAATTCAGACCTGAAAAAAATCAGGCCTGTACGGGACTCGAACCACTGACCTCTGCGATACTAGTGCAGCGCTCTACCAATTGAGCTAACAAGCCAACTGGGAGCAGGCCGTTAAGTTGATTCGTAATAAACCCGTGAAAGTGATAAATGAGATACAATGAAATATATGAAGTTCATATATTTTG